GGGGGTTTTTACCGCTAGGAGAGAAGGGATCATCTGCGCCAGGGCGATAGGCGGGTCCTCAATCTTCTAGGGCAGTGTTTACACGACTGCTCCCGTTCAGGCCAGTTTTAATTGTTTTTAATTTTTCGGATTTATCTGCATGCTATAATCTTAATTATTTGATAAATTTCCAACATTTATGATGGCATAGCCACCATTCATTGAAACATTTTGTTATAACTAAGTATGCGATGTTAATAGGCTATTTGCTATTTCTCTACTAATGTTTTTATTTTCATACATAGCTTCTGATTAGAATTGTTGTTATAGCTACAAAAATAGTATAGTCCTGCTTTGTTACTAAATGAAAGATAGCTTCTGATTAGAATTGTTGTTATAGCTACAAAAATAGTATAGTCCTGCTTTGTTACTAAATGAAAGATAGAAAAAGACATTGAGATACCACAGAGCTACAAAAATAGTATAGTCCTGCTTTGTTACTAAATGAAAGATAGAAAAAGACATTGAGATACCACAACCCTCCTATATAATGCAATTGGGGTCAGCTTGATGTTAGAGACAGGGATTATGACGTTAGAAGTAAATAATAAAACAATAAACAATAAGATCTGCTTGTCATTGTAGAAGCGAGCAGTCACTATGTCCATTATAGAAGTGAGCAGTCACTATGTCCTGATGCAGAGTATGTCATCAATTTAATTTTTCACTATGTCCTGATGCAGAGTATGTCATCAATTTAATTTTTCTACTTTGTCAATATCTTTTGAGAAATTAATTTAGAGTATTTTGTTACTTGTGGAAGGTCCAAGGGCCTATTATACTGTAATAGACGCTAAATTATTTCCTTAATTTTCAAATGTGAGATTAATAATGAAACATGTAAATTAGAATCAGTATGTGAAAATGCCAGTAAAGGGTTATTTTCAAAATATATTATTTCCTGATTTTAATATGTAGAATATTCATAAATTTGACATTTTTTCCATGTTGTATTTGTATGTAAGAACATGCCATATTTTATGAAGATCATGGAAAAATGAATATGAAAGACCAAAATATTATGTTGCACTATGCCAGCGAGTGATCACGAACCACAAAATATACAGACCATGGTGTGTGATCAAATAGACTAATTTACCAATATACATATTAATGAAGTATTCTTACACATGTTTATGCCTTAAAATATTACAGATTTCATGTTGTCCTATAGGATTTAACTATAGTTTCTACCAAGCCAGGTCCATACTGCCTTTGATTTATTGTGCAGAATAACAAGTTCTTTTCCCCATGATAAGTTCATAATCCATGTTCATCTAGGTAAGATATATATCATTACCAATATATAGATTTAATATTTATAGCCCACCAACTGCTTGTACAACTCCTCTGGTTGTGTTTCCTTGTATTTCCAATTCATGGAGGGGCGTCTGATCAAATAGACATGGGGTTCCAAAAAATTCCAATGAATTTTCATGCTTATAACTTTTAACACCTGCACCTTTTGCAGCTATCCTACCAACTTGATGCATAGAATTTGCAATGGCTGATTTGCCGACATTTGGAATAATTAATACCTCTTTTGCAACTACTTCAAACATAGAAACATGCAAGTTAAGGATATGCAATTAATGAGTTTCTTGCTATCAAAATTATTTAATGACTATAATCTCATATTTTCACGAGTTCTACCAGTTAATGACATGCAAATTATCACGAGTAAGTTAATGACATCCTATTAACTACCACCATCTTTAATACCCCACTTACTCATCCATATCTCTAACTTCGCATCAATTTTTAACCTCGGGATTTAATTATGTATACGCACGCGTAGCGTGCACAAGAAATATATTCCTCATTAAGAGCAATTTGGTGCATATCTATTAGCCTCCTATGTTTAGTAACATCTTTTCAGAACAATGTGTGAAATAATGTGCACTTTTCTAATACACTTTTATGTCTAGATTAAATGATTTAACATTTTGTCATATAAATGCAGATATTCTACTTGGTTGGATTTACCTTGTTTTTCTTGAAAACATTTCTGAGGTTGTAGGTGATTCAAGTAAGTGAAATAACTTTCTTCTATTTTCTCTTTATTTGTGTTCATAGTGATGGTAACTCTACTTTCCCGTATTTATCTTCTTCTTCATTTAAATATTTATAATAATAATAATAATTATTATTATTATTATATGACTTCAAAGAACAGAAATAACCTTAGCATAAGAGATATTTGAGATTAATGATGCATGTATAGTGTACCAAATTTCTCAAGAAAAAAACCTCAAGTACTATTGAACTTCAATTAAAATATATTTATTCTCTCAAATTATAATCACCACTATGCTTATGTTAAATAAAATCAATAATTTAACACATTAAATTGACTTTTCCCTGTAGAAATTTACATCCTAATTCTTAGTTTGCATAATCACTATACATTTTGCATAAGAGGACATTCTTCAAGATGACTTCAAACCAAGGTTTAAATTGAAAAAAATATATATTATTATTGCTTTGTGTGTATATGTGTTTATTAATAATATATTTCATTATTTTTAATAGAAGAACATATTCTAATTCATGAGAGTAGAAAAACCAAATATAACCAGTTGAATGTTGATCAAAAGAGAACTTACATCCAGAAAGTCATTGATAATGATAGAAAGAGGAAAAGGAATAAATTTGCTGGCAGTAGTACCAATAGCAAGCGACAATGTAAGATTGATTTGTTTTGTGGAGCGCAACAACGGGAATATGAGCATGGCGGTTTGCATAGATTTATCTTATAATTTATTAAAATAATTACATGATTTTATATGTCCAAATTTATTTAATACTAAAAACTAAAATTTTCTTTCTAGGGAAAATTAACCATAAACCAGTGTGTTCTTCATTTCATAAACTACACACTCCAAAGTCTTATTCATTTTGTGGAGCTAAAAAGTTTGAACACGAGACACCAACATCCTATTGTCACAACGGTAAAATCCACCTAGCAGATGTGAATATTAAGGACGAGTTATATGCCTTTTATATAGTACAAACCCAAGAGAACTTTGAGTTTCGAAGATAAACCAGAAAGTATAATAGCATCTTCTCATTCACATCATTTGGGGCAAGATTTGATATAGAGCTTGTATCAAACAAAAAAGATATTTTCACATTTAGAGTACAAGGACAAATATATTATAATCTCTCCTCTCTAATTCCGGAAGAAAACAAGCCTTCCTACTTTCAACTTTACTTCTATGATACAGAGAATGAGTTGCAAAATCGAATGGGAATATTGATAATACAAATATGAGTACGACTACAACTAAAAGATTGATGGATATATTAGAAGGAAACCCATATGCAAAATTTCTACGGAAACTGAATGATTATCCATCTCTTGAAGACTTCAAGATCATAATAAATAGAGATGTTGCAGTAGATCAACACATTTACAACTCACTAATAGTGGATCGGGTTGCAGCTGTCGGGGTAGAGGGAAATTATGAAAATGTTCCGTATGAGAGAGAAATAGTTGTTCATTCACACTCCAGAAAGAATAATCAAGTTAAGCACTATTTTGGTTGTTATGATCCTTTACAGTATCCTTTACTCTTTCTAGGCGGAGATGTTGGATGACACCAAAATATTAAAAGAAGGAAGAAAAAGGATATTCGCCATTCAAAACAACAACTAACTACAACATCTCAAGTGACTCAACAAACTTTTACATCTGCAGAAGACATATTTAACCGAGAAAGGGAAGGTAAATCATAATTAAAATTATTTAATAATATTAAAACATTAAAAATTAACTTAACCTGCAAACTTATAGGTGTTAAAGCACCAAAGGTGGAAAACGTCTCATGTCGAGAATATTATTGTTACAAGTTCCAGATAAGAGACACTCGACAATCTACTATATTAACATCAGCATGTCAGTTGTTCCATTAATATGTTGTTGATATGTATATAAAGCTTGAAATAACAAGACTTGATTATTTTAGAAAGAAGCAATCAAAAATCAGAGCAGAGTTATTCCAAAGCATAGCCGATAGTGTAGCTACCGGGGAAGCAAAAGCATGTCAAGTCGAAAAAAGAATAGTATTGCCATCATCATTTATTGGTGGTCCTAGAGATATGCGTCGTAGATATCTTGATGCAATGTCATTAGTACAATAATTTGGAAAACTAGATTTTTTCATCACAATAACATGCAATCCTGAATGGAAAGAAATCACGAGGAGCTACATCCAAGCCAAACACATAATAATAGACCAGATCTAACCTCAATGATATTTTGAGCAAAGTTGCAAGACTTGAAAGATTAGCTATTTAAAAAGAAAATCTTTGGAAAAGTTGTTGCCCATGTTCATGTCATCGAGTTCCAAAAAAGAGGGTTGCCTCATGCACACATGCTAATTATTCTAATGGGAGAGCACATTGAAATATTTATCATTAAATTATTTTTTAATTGAATCTAATATTCTAATAGTGCTTAAATTTATCATTAGATTATTTGAATCTAAATACATATTCAGAAAATACCTAATATATTTGTCCTTGTGCTCTAAATGTTCCAAATATACGTGGCACATACTTGCTCAAGAGTTTTGGTATTGTTCCAAATATATGTAGCACATACCTACTCAGGAGTTTTTCATGATACCAATTTTGATATACACCTTGTGCAAGCTGAGGATTTTGATCCTAGGGAGAAGTATTGGACGAGGTTTCCTCCCGAGGGGTCAAAGATTACGCTGCCTCATCAGTCGGCAAAGTTTCGGTGGAAGGATTATTGTCCAATGGTCTTCAGGTATCAACCTTCTTGAACTTTTGGTTTGGGTATCGTGTTTTCTCGCAACTTTTTGGTATTGATTTTGATTGAGATTGTGCTTAGGCATTTGAGGAAGCTGTTCAAGGTGGATCTGACAGATTATATGATGGCCATTTGTGGGAATGATGCCTTGAGAGAGCTTTCATCTCCAGGAAAGGGTTCATGATAAAGACAATGAAGAAGTCTAAAGTAAAGGTTGATTAGCTTAGCTCTTTCAGCCTAAAATCTTTTATTTGGTCTTTCCTTTATGGTGAATGTTGGCTCTCTTATTGGCAGAAATGCTCATGACAGAATTTCAACGCATTCATTTGTTTCAGAGCATTACTTGTGGAAGTCATATATTAACAAACCAATAGTTGAAATTCTGAGTAACGAGTAGATTCTCTACGCTGGCTGAATTTAAATAACATTTCAATAATGTATTCTTTCAGGACATCTTTTGGCTAGATATGGGGTCTATGGCAGTTGAAATCAAGGCAATAGACCAATGGAACTATAGATTTTTAGGGCTTAGTGAATCAGGGAAAGGATATTATGAATTTCCACAGGTTCTGTCACTATTATCCTCAGTTCTCAAGAGGACCATTCAAAAGAATAAGAGTTCGTTGGATTCTACGATGAGGAAAACTAATGACACCATTGACCATGGTCTCAGAGCACCGGATCATAGTATACAAAGTTACGCTGAGCGCATATTCAAGTACTCAAAGTGTAGCCATTCATGCTTTATCCTTGCACATGTATACATTGACAGATACCTTGAGCAGCCAGGAGTCCATCTTTCTTGCCTCAATGTTCATCAGTTACTAATGACAAGTGTGGTCATTGCAACAAAATTCATTGATGATGTGTAAGTATTGCATGCGTTCTTCCTTCCAAATGTTTTGACTTTGGATTTAGTTCTAAAAAAGTGCTCATAGTTCTTTTGGAGTCTTCTGTTAAGTTCCTATTAAGTTTGTTACATCTGTTTATGTCATAAAATACATCTTGTTTCAATTTCTTTTTTATTAAAAAATTTTCCTTTTCATGCTTGCTACAGTATGAGTTTTATTTATTTCCAGACCAAGTGCTTCCGCGCCACTCATTTATTATGTTTCATTAACAAAGTCATTTGTTCATTGACCTAATATTGAAAAAATGTGTTTATAATATCTTCATTTTTATTAACTACTGCCAAAAAACGTTTCTCAAACTAGCAATTACTAAATTTCGTACTTGAAAACTTTCATTTAGGTGGTAAAGAAGGGAGAACAAGTGGTTGCTTAGTAGAGCCTTCTCGTCACCATGCATCGGGACAAGTCGAAAATGCAGACATCTTACTAAAAAAACTCGGGTAGCAAATGATTCAAGAGAAGCTTTGATGAGTCATAGTTCTATATGTCATTGTTATTAGCCGGTGATAAGTCAACTTCAGCGGATCTATATGACATATGAATTTCATTCTTATAAGAAACTTATTGGTTGATTGAAACTCAATAGTGTATATCAAATAAAATTCTTTTATAAAATTATTCATTGTTTTCTATTGTTAAAGACGCAAACAATCTATTTAATCCTTTTGAATTTTTAAATTCTATCCATATGTTTGATACATGGTTTAAATTAAATAAATCTTAATGAAATGAATCAATAATAAAATAATAAATAAAACAATTTACCACGTGTATTGTACATGCAATCCAACTAGTGTAAATAAAAACAAAAGTAGATTGAGAATGGAGAAAGAAAAATGAAGAAAATAAAACCAAGAAACAAATAAGAAAAAAATAAGAATAAAGAGAAAAATCAAGAAACTAAAAGATGGAGGATTCAATTAGAGATATAAGGAATCTAGAATTGAATTCACTAGCCAATTTCACTTATAAATTATGAACTATTATCTTTTTATTATATTTTACTTTAGATTTATTAAGCATAGACTATCAAACCACTTAAGAAAAGTATAACCTATCAAATTATTATCCAGGTAAAATTAATATTCATAAAAAGAACAACAACTAAAGAGTAATTCTAAAATTCATAATCATAACCTATCAAACCACTCAAGATAAGTATAGATTATCAAACTCTTCTTTCACCAATTAGCTCTCTAGTTGATTATCCTAATCATGATCATTTTAAGCACAAGAGAATAATTCACAAATTATAAAAGAAATAAAACTAGTTTCATACAATTCTAGAATTCCTACAAGAATTACTTCCACATCTTAGAAAATAAAAAATAAAGAAATAAAATCTATACTAGAGAGAATAAAAGTAAGAAAATGAAGATAAAAACTAATTCTCAGGAGCGTTCTAACCTCTTGGAGAATAAAAGTGTAATGACTGTGAATTTTTGCTACTAGTTAAAATAATTTTTTGGTATTTAAAATATTTAATTATTAATTTTAAAAGAGTATTTGTATTTTTATTGATTTCTATAATTTTCTATGATTTAAAATCCAAGTTTTATATTTATTTAAATGGTTTTGATATTTATAAATTTATTTAGTATAGTAAAAATTTCTAGAATTTATCCCTTATGTTATCGATACTATTACATATTATTTTAAATAATATGTTGTATTATTATTATTAATACATATTATTTCGTATAATATATTGTATTATTGTTACATATTATTTGTATAAATTGTTGTATTATTTTTAATGTTGCATATTATCGGTTATATTAGTACAACTGGTACGTTTTATTATATAGATAATTATCCTATAATTATTTGATTTTAAATATAAGTAATTATATTTTTATTAATTATTCTTGTTTAATTATACAATTTATAGTATTATTTCTTTTGTTGCGTATCAGCTATTGTATTAATACAACTAGTATGTTTTTATTTGTAGATAATTATTCCGTAATTATTTTAATTTTTAAATATAAGTAATTATTTATTTTAATTAATTTTTGTTTAATTCCAAAACCCTAATTATATATATACATATCTCTCTCTCTCTCTCTCTCTCTTATCTTTTTCCGCGTCATACTATTTCTCTCTCCTCTCTCTGCTCTCCTCTTTCTCAAACCTCCAGACCTACCGCTGAACTCGCTGCTGCCCCGTCGAACTGCCTCCCGCCGAGGCCTCTCCTCCAGCTCCGACGAGCGACCGCTTCTCCTCCGCCCCTCCACCAACACCATCCCCTCTCTGCCACCTACCCTCCACAAAAATCCCGACAAACAACCCATAGCTCTCCTCTCACCTCTCCGCCGCCAGCGCGACTCACGCCTCCTCCCTTCGCCGTCGAACTGCCAGCCCTCAAGCCAGTCCCCCGCGACGACCTGAACCTAACCTGACCAGCCTCTAAATTCGAACAACCTCCTGCTGCACCTCCTCTTCCTCCCCGCTCACACTCTCCTCAGCTGAACCACCAACCGACAGCTCCGCCCCAAACAGCGAGCCACTGCGGCTCCTGTCACCCACTCCTCATCCGCTCACCGACGACTCGTCGACAGCCCTCCCATCAGAGACTGCAACCACTCGCGCCCTCCTCCCCTGTCGCCGTAGTCCCTCTCCTCCTCATCACCTCGCCGCACCTCTAACCTGAGCCCGATCGCGTCCACTGACCGCCGCTCCCCACTTCGACACACACGCCTCCGACGTCGGCCTCCTCCTTGTCGACGCGCCTCCTCCCTCCTCTGTGCCGACCACCTCCAGCACTACCTCCCTCAGCCCATCTCCCCACCTCCTTCTCTTCCACCGTTGCCACCCACACCCAGCCCACCCTCCTCAGCCGCCCCCAACCATACGAACCGCCTCCCCTCTCCGTTAGCCTCCCTCTAGACCTCCGACAGCCTCCTCCACCGCTCCCTCTCGTCTCCCGCGACTCCCTACGCCACGCTCCTTCGCGTACGATTCGACTCGTGCCATCGATGTCGACTTGTTCAATGCACCGAGGCAAGATCTCGCCTCTCCTTATTGTTGTTTTAATATTTATATATTATATGTGTACATTAGTTTATATTATAATTAATTGCATGGGTTGTTTGGTGAATAATATTAATGTAAATCATAGATATGTGATAAATAGTATTTTCAGAATAGTTATAATAAATTAAAAGAATTTATTTTGATAACATAATTATTTTAAAGAATTTATAATATTTTTAAAAAGAATTTATTTCGAGGGAAAAGAATTATTTTAGAATAATAATTTGAAATGACAAGTTAGGTGTTAAAATTAGAATTTACGAAATGTTATCGGAAAAGAAATAAATTAAAGGTTATTTATAAAATGAGGAAATATTACTATTTATGTAGAAAAGAATTAACAAATATATATTACATAAATATATTATTTTAAATTAGTTATAATGAGAAATAGTTTTAAAGAATAATTTTGAATTTTTTTATTAATTATGATAATATAACTGGTAGTCGTAGAGCGTGACATTTCATGTGCAAAACTACATCGGTTTTTAGTTTTCTTTTACCGCATTATTATGTTAGAGATTACTTAATTATGGATAGCTTGCATAAGAACTTTGGACACCCTAGTAGTGAGATATTAATAAGATCTGTTTACATGTGTATTTATGTTGTTGTAGACACTGTTCATGCATCCCGTATTTATTCGTAGTTATTATTCATGTCTTATGAACTTTGTTTTAATATATTCTACATGCCATGATGTTGTTGCATAGGAATAATTTTATTATTATATCATTGTTGTGATTAAGAACCCTAGTAGTTCATGACTTAGTGGCATCGTGCGTCATGAACAGACCTAGTGACATGTGTGGGTGTGTTGACCTGATTTAGGTGGTGAACCAGAGATATTGTGAACTTTGATTGTTGACTTAGAAAATGAGAAGAGTTGGGATGAGGAAGTCTCTGTTCATGTAATCGGATAAGGCAGTTGATATATCTTCCAGGCTCACACCAGTGGATCGGTGTTGCCACTGGGGTTGGTTTGTTGGGTCAGAGTAGATCAGTGTCGTTACTTTGGTCCGTGAGTTTGATATTCACCTGAGTTTAGCTTGAGTCCAGACCAGGCTAAAAACAAATTACGTGTAGTCCTCTGACTGAGTTTGTGTAGCGGTATTAGATGCACGTAGGGGATTTGTGAACAGTCAGTTATCCGATGATATGAGCATGAGTTTGTGTAGCGGTATTAGATGCACGTAGGGGATTTGTGAACAGTCAGTTATCCGATGATATGAGCATTGACTCTGTGTGAGATGTGAACCAGTGACCTGTTATAGGATGGCTAGTTACATGATCTTGTTATTTGAATGGTCTATGAATTCTTATGAGATTTAGGTCAGTTGTATTTCTTTTTATACATATATCGGGGTTAATATTTAATTATCTATAATTTGAGATATATGGTATATACATGAGGGTTTCCTTGTTTGGATTATTTCGCTCGACGTACTACGTCTCTTGTTGTAGATTTTTAAGTATTAATTACATCTAATTGTATGACCTTGTTACTTGGATAATTATTCGATTGCTAGCTGCATGACCTCGTCACTGATTGATTTTTGGATTCTTTGATTATCATATACTATTGATGGATTTCATCTACTTTTTAGTATTCTAGCTGCATGCTTCTATTTATTATTACTATTTTTGCCTTGGTCATTCGAGCGTTTCATTTCTCCCATGCGGGATCTTGCCGTGTGCCATGTACGCTGGCGTACACCTATTTTCTCTGGTGTACGTCAGATTTAGGAGACGAACCGTCTCAGTTCGGAATCGTACAAGAGCCGGAGGATTCTCAGCAGGAGTGCCTTGCAGAGAGAGCAGAAGAACAAGTTGAAGCTTAGCTATTTTCTTAGTTATTTTATGATCCTTAGTTTATTTTTAGTAGTACTTTCTTTTATTATGGACTATGTATTTTTATATTCCTAGTTGGACCTTTTTTGTAATAAGGGCATGTTTGACCTGAACTCTGTGTCACAAATGATATTCTATTTGTGATATGTCTCTTTTCCATTCTGAGTTGTTCATTATATTCTTGCTATCTGTGATAGGAAACCTATGCCTTTGCATTTATTTATTGACGCTTAGCCTATTAGGTTAAGGAGAAAAGTTTATTTTTATTTATTCTCATTAATCTAATACGTCGCGGGCTTGTTCACGTTCCGATTCCCGGGTATTTTGAAAAGCGGGGCGTGACAAAAAGAAAAAGAATAAAAATAAAAACTAATTATCATGAGGGTTCTAGCCTCTTGGAGAATGAGAGGAAAATAATAAAAATAAAAACTAATTCCTGAGAGGGTTCTAGCCTCTTGGAAAATAATACAAGAAAATAAAAATCTAAACTATGCAAGAAAATAAATCTATACTACAAAATACAAGAAAAATAAAGAGATAAAAGTAAATCTACTCTACAAGGCATTAAAATAA